AATTAAAATTGATATTGAAAATTAATTTTGGCATCCGAAAATCGCAATCACATGTAATTTTAACAAAAAAAAATTTTTTTTAAATCTTTCCGCAACTGGGTTTGAACCCTGCTCGGCAAAATAAAAAACTGGCGCTCTGACCACAGAGCTAGTACACCTTCATACGAATATTTTGTGTTTATTATTTTAAGCTGCTTGCTTGGGTATGGAGTATGGGTATCCAGCTTTCCGGCGATGTGCCGGAACTCGTTACACATTGTTGTAAGTGCTCTTCATGTTTATAATTATTAAAAAACAACTGCTGCCTCTTTTGTAGCGACATAAAAATAAGGTTTTTCAAACTTTCTAATAACTTTCTTACTCTCCGCTATAAATTGGAAGAGTAATTGATAAAAAAAAATATCAGTGCTCTGCAGTGGTCTGGGTGCGACCTGAAAGGTCCACACGACCAACTTCCCAGTGGAAAAAATAAAAAACAATTTGAATAGAACCCGTTTCCATTTTTTATAACAAATGGAATTGTTATACACGAAATGAGTCTGTTTTTATTCATTTGATATGGTTAGTTACTTTATTTCAGTAAAGAAAAAATTGTGTGTTAGAAGAATTCAAATGTACCTCATAGATCTTTTCATTATTTACAACGAATTTCATTGTTATACACGAAAAATGTTTTCATTTATGTCATACGGTTGGTAACATTTTTTAGTAAACGAAAAAATCATGCGTTAAAAGTACTCTTATATATCGAAAGGGTCCCTATTTTATTGTTTATAACAATTTAAAACTTATTATTTATATATTACTATGATCAATAATCACTTGTTAGTAACAATGTCAATTGTTATGAACACAATTCCATATTATTGACAATATTATTGACTATTATAGCGTCTTTAATGCTGTTTTCTCAATCCTGACACGAGTTTAAAATTCTTTCATTGCTGATTTCGTTTTTTAAAAATTTTTTTTTCTATGAAATACTGTCATCATATTTCTGTACAATTATTCTAAACATTTGATATTCATATTTTTCAAAAGATTTCGAAATTCCGTCTAAAAATGGTATAATTTATAAATTGCAGAATTTAGGTAGTTCACTATTTTTCAGTTTTTTGATTCTGCATAAAAAATGGCTGGACCGATTTTGCTGAAAATCTAATCAGTTCTAAGTTACGTAATTACGAGTCGAATGCACATAATCGAGGCGAAAAATAATTCCGAACGCACGTACGAACATACGAACATACGCACAAACGCACATACGCACATACGTACATACACACACACAGACGTCCACTGGAAAACGGTCGTATTGGATTCGCGGGACCTTAAAACGTGGAGATATGTCGAAATTAGCGATTCGCAAAATCGGACCCATTACTATAACTTCCCACTGGGAAGTTAATTATTATTTAGAACTAATTTTGTTATGCTAAAATAACGCTTATATATCATTAAAAAAAAAAAGAGAAAGAAAAAATTGGCTGCGGCTGGGTTTGAACTCAGCTCGGCAAATTAAAACTCTAGTGCTCTTTCTGCAGAGCTAATACATTAACTCTTCTATTATTTATAAGTTATAAGCTACTCGCTTAGGTTCGAAGGGAGGGGATAGAGCTTTTTCGGCGAAGTGCCAGAACTCGCTACCGATTGTCGTATGTCTCTCTCTTTCTACGAACATGAGCCTTTCTTAATTCTATTCATACTTTTTTATGTACAACACAAATTATCCATGTCTTTTAAAGACCATTGCTACGCCACCTGTCGAGAAGGGAAAAAAGTACGATTCTGTGAATGATTACCTGAAACTTTCTCGCGAAAACTGTGTTTTATTTATTCGTTTTTTGTTATAAAATATTTTTTTAAATATTCCGAATAATAGTATGTACATCGGAAAACAACGATTTACCATATATGTAATACTCCTATGTTGCTAGTCGGTATAGGGAGGGAGACTTAAGCATTACGGTGCAGCCATATATGCGTTTGTCTCACTTATATACGCTGCGACTTGTGCGCATGATCGTGAATGGAGCGTGCGCATTAGATAGCATTTCAATGGCCGTATTCGTTCCTGATTTTGCGTGATCGAAGTGATTTTTTTGACGCATGCGCAATAACTTTTTTTATAAAATACGCATGCTCGAAAATAATAATTATTATTATACTCCTGGTATACTTAGCCGCTTCTTGTGTTATACATAATTTGTCTTTTTATAATGTCTCATATAAATAAATAGTTCAACACTATTTTTATAACCCGGATACAAAAACATTTTTTCCATATAACATTACTGAGGAGCAACAGAAACGAATGAAAGTAGGTAAGTGTCATTTAATAGCAAATCCCACTTGCCTAACCTCTAATCAGATTATGATGTCAACATAAACATTAACTTCAAATTCGTTCAATTTCGTCAACATTACTATTTAATTCTTTGTTCATAATTTCATTGTAAAAGGTTATTTATTTTTCAGATAAAGAGTTTGCAAAAAGTGTATATGAGGAAATAAAAATGAAGATAGCAAGAAAAAATAACCAAAATGAAAATTCTGGTTGCTCGTCATCAGGACAACATATAGACGATGTTTCCATTGATAATTCACTTCCTGCCACTACAACTTGCACGAGGAATGATTTTGTCATTCCAAGTGAAATTTTTGAGCCATTTGATAATATGCCAAGTGAGTGTTCGACATCAAATCAGTATGTACATTCAACTTGCGATGAGGAATATGAAGTGAATTTTCTCCCATTATGTAGTGCAGAAAACAATAAATGCACCAACACCAATACATATTTACGTCAAGCTTCTAATATGATGATAATCCTATCAAAGCTACTACATCGAAACGCAATAAGCCTCTTCAGGAAAAGATAAATATTATTGGCAATACCATGATACAAAACTGCTCATTAGTAGTTACGCTCTTCACGCTCAGGAACAATACCATCCCGTACTAAGAAATCACTTTTGGGAAAATATAGTCAATGACCTTGTCAGTCACGGTCATAATGTGATAAAGATTTATGTGCTAATAAATGGAATAATCTACTCAGAACTTACAAAACTTGCAAGGATAAATCAGGACGAGAGCCTCACAAGTTCGCTTTTTGGCAAGAAATGGATGAAGTTTTAGGAGATAAGCCAACCAATTCATCTTCATTCACATTGGGTTCTCTGAAAAGGATTCTGCAGATCGTGAAAATGATAGTGCCTCGTTAAATGTGAGTATTGATAGCTTGAAGAAACTGATTGTAAACAAACTAAAAAATGGCCAAAGAAAAGGGGATGAAGAAAGGAGAAAGAGTAATTATGAGTCAAATGAAAAAATTGAATTAATGAGAGAAAAAATGGCAATTGAACGTGAAAAGATTGCTTTCAAAAAATCATTTGCTAAAGATTTTTTTGCTTTAGAAAAAACAAAAACTACCTTAATGGGGAAATATTTTGATTTAAAGTCAAAAAAAATTAAAAATCGATTGCCATTTTTAATTTCAACTATTCAAAGATCTCTAAAAAATCATAATATATGATGAGAAATATGTATTCTTTTATAAGTCATATCTCAATGTTTTTCTTCGTTTTAAAAAAATTGAAAATTAAGTTAGATGAGTAAGTGTTGAGTTGAAATGTTGTTGTGAGGTTAAAATGTTGCGTTCATTTGTTTCGATATCTTTTGTCTTCTTGCAGTAATATTCAATATTGCTCAGAAATAATAGTAAACAATATGTAGAGAAGTTGAAGTTAATTTTCTAAAAAAATTCTATATTTATTCATGAGATGTATATTACTGTGTAAGGCATATATATTCAGTAACTGTTTTATTTAAATATTGATATAAGATTGCAATATTGCATACAAAAACGAAGACTGATTATATATTGGAAGTTTAATATATTAAACTTTACAAGTATTTGTTAAAATAATGATGTAGATATAATGGCATCTCGTATAACAAATAAAAGTTATAAACATATTATTAAATGTGAATATTATCATTTGTACACCTGAGCATATTACATTTTAACATTTTGTCAAGCACCTGATACAAAATTTTATCATAGTACCCATGAATAAGAAGCTAATCTACAACAGGTAAAATATAAACAGTCTTTCATTCTGATTAGATTATTGTTAATGAAATATCCTACATTTGCTACTACAACACTGACTGCTACTGCTTCCACTGCTTATTACATTGCTTTCGTGGCTTTCACTGCTTGTTTCACTGGATTCACTACTTCCTCCATTACTTTCATCACTTATTTCACTATCTGATGTATCATCTTCTATTGGATCATCATGTAATATACATATATTATGTAAAATACATGAGGCCATAACACATTTTACGATAATATCAACTCTCAAATTATCGAAGCGAATTAATCGTCGAAATCTTGCTCTTAGAAGACCAAAAGCCTGTTCTATTACGATGCGAGTTGATGAGTGTCGATAATTAAATTGACGTTGTCCCAGGTGTGAGATGTCCATTATCTCGGAAAGGAGTTATCATCCATGGTGTACTTGGGTAAGCAGTGTCTCCAAGTAAGAAGTATGTTCCAAAGAAGTTTGGATCTGTGAGAGCTTTTTCATATAAAGGAGATCGTCGGAATACTCGTGCGTCGTGCATGGATCCAGGTTCACCAATGTATACGTCTGTAAAGACCTTATCACTGTTTGCAACTGCTTGCAAAATAATGCTGTGATATCGTTTCCGATTATAATAATCTTCTTGATGATGTACTGGTCTTCTGATACGAACATGACATCCGTCTATTGCACCTATTATTTGAGTTATGTTTTGGAGATCAGAAAATTTTCGACTAACTTCTATTTTATCTGCTGCAGTTTCAGGCCATCGTATATATTCTTCAGATAAAGAAATTAGAAAATCCAGTGAACATAATAAAACCCTATGAGAGTCGCTTGGTGCAAAATCGAATAAATTTGATATTTCACGAAATGTTTCGATATTGGCTAGATACCACACGGTCATAGCAGAGCTCGTTCATGAGTAATCCCACCGATTGGGAGATTTTGAAAAAAGTTAGTCTGCTCAAATCGTTCTGAAAAAAATAACAATGACGTTGAAAATTCTTGAAACTTCCACAAATTTCATTTTTTATAAATTTTCTGCGAGCATTCGCTTCATCACAAGTAATAAACTTATTGATTACCGATTAATTGATACAATGTTGATCGACGAAGCCTGAAGTGTTTCCGAAATTGTTTTTCATTGTACTGACGAACGGTGTTTTCGACAAAATTTCGAACGCACCTACGTGGAACTCGAATTCTATTGATACCTTCATCGTCTTCGGACGATTCTGATGATGATGAATCAGAAGAGAACAGAATATTATGAATATCAGGAAACGGAGCATCAAGTATCCAATCCTTTAAATTAAAAAAGAAATAGAGTTAGGGCGTACTTATGTATTTCTAGTGATCATGAAAACAATAGTGTTAAATAGTAGCCTTCTCTTTTATTGAATATCTAACATAATTTATGGGTAATTTTTGTAGGATTAGCACGGGAAATAAGGAAGATTTTCTCTATTTGATAAAAGAAATGGTATAAATATTAAAATTTATTTCCATTATTAAAAGAAACTACTTTCTTGTTTTTTACAATGAGTAAATTATTATAAAAATCCACCAACAATTTAAGTAAACCTTATTTTTCCTAAATTAGATAGTCAAACAATAAACAATTAATTAGTAAATTCATGTATGTATTATAATTGATTGTAATTCTAACCTGTACAATATCATCTATCATTTGGTCCATTTTCGGAGTAATATCCTGGGAAAAACGAGTTCACATATAATCAGGTCCGAGCAGGTCTGTTCACATTCAATAATCTTGATAAATTTTAGTTGAAATAATTAAAACACTTTCTGATCGCGATAATTTTTATTTAGATAAATATTCGAGAATAGAAAAATAAATAATCCGATGAAATGAATACGAAGTAATATACATATATATTATACACATACATATAACATACATTTACATATATCATACATGTACATATAATGTCCGCGCATGTCAAGTAATTTTTTATCTAGGCGCATGCGTCAAAAAATCACTTTGATCACGCAAAATCAGGAACGAATACGGCC